AGGTTCAAGTGATTCTCCTGACTCAGCCTCCTGAGTAGCTGGGATTACAGGCGCCTGCCACCATGCCCAGCTAATTTTTGCATTTTCAATAGACACGGGGTCCTACCATGTTGGTCAGACTGGTCTCGAACTCCTGACCTCGTGATCTACCCGCCTCGGCCTCCCAAAGTGCTGGGATTACAAATGTGAGCCACTGTGCCCGGCCCTATTTGATTTGATTGATTGATTGATTTTTTGAGCAATGGAGTCTCGCTCTATTGCCCAGACTGGAGTGTAGTGGCGCGATCTCGGCTCACTGAAATCTCCACCTCCCAGATTCAAGTGATTCTCCTGTCTCAGCTTCCCAAGTAGGTGGAACTACAGGCACGTGCCACCATGTCCGACTAAGTTTTGTATTTTTTAGTAGAGAGGGGGTTTCACTGTATGTTGGCCATGCTGGTCTTGACCTCCTGACCCTCATGTGACCCGCCCACCTTGGCCTCCCAACAAGCTGGGATTACAGGCGTGTGCCACCGTGCCCAGCTTATTTTTTTTTTTATTTTTATTTTTTGAGTAGGAGTCTCATTCTGTCACCAAGGCTGGAGTGCAGTGGCATGATCTCGGCTCATTGCAACTTCCACCTTCCGGGTTCAAACAATTCTCATGCCTCAGCCTCCTGAGTAGCTGGGTAGTAGGTGTGCACTAGAACGCCAGGCTAATATTTGTATTTAGTAGAGATAGGGTTTCCCCATATTGGCCAGGCTGGTCTCCAACTCCTGACCTCAAGTGATTCACTCGCCTCAGTCTCCCAAAGTGCTGGGATTATAGGCGTGAGCCACTGTGCCTGGGCAAAAAAAATTTTAAAAAAAAAATTTATAAAAAAAAAAAAAAAAAAAAAAAAAAACTAGCCAATCTCTTAGAAAAAAAAACTTGACGTGGGTCTTGGCATCATTTCCTAAGATACGACATTAAATGCATATGCAACAAAGGAAAGAACAGAAACATTTAACTACACTATACATAAGAATTTCTGCACATTAAAAAAAAATTCAATAGACTGAAAATGTCTTCTAGGAAATGGGTGAAAATATATGGAAATCACAAGTGATAGTTAATATTCAGAATATATGAACAACTCTTAAAACTGAACAATAAAGTTGACTAACTTAATTTAGAAATGAAAAAGTAAGGCCGGGCATGGTAGCTCACTCAGGTAATGCCAGCACTTTGAAAGGCCGAGGTGGGTGGATCACGAGGTCAGGAGTTCGAGACCGGTCTGACCAAGATGGTGAAACCCTCTCTCTACTAAAAATACAAAAATCAGCCAGGCGAGGCGGTAGGCACCTATAATCCAGCTACACGGGAGGCTGAGGCAAGCTGAGGTAGGCTGAGGCAGGAGAATCGCTTAAACCCAGGAGGCAGAGTTTGCAGTGAGCCGAGATTACGCCACTGCACTCCAGTCTGGGCGACAGAGTAAGACTTCATCTCAAAAAAAAGAATAAAAAAGAAATGAAAAAATAATTTTCATCAAAAAATATACCCAAATGGGGGAAAAAAACATTTGAAAAGAAAAGCAAAATTAATGATTTGCAGAGAAACACATACAAATAAAAATGAGGCCAGGTGCTTGCCTCACGACTGTAATCCCAGTACTTTGGGAGACCAAGTCAGGTGGATCACTTGAGGTCAGGAGTTCAAGACCAGCCTGGCCAACATAGTGAAAACGCCGTTTCTACTAAAAATACAAAAATTAGCCAGGCATGATGGTGGACGCCTGTAATCTCAGCTACTCAAGAGGCTGAGGCAGAAGAATTGCTGGAATCCGGGAGACGGAGGTTGCAGTGAGCCACTGTGCCACTGTACTCCAGCCTGGGTGACAACAGTGAGACTCTATCACAATCAATCAACCAATCAATCAATCAATCAATAAAATGAAAAAACAAAATTGCCTCACACTCATTACAATGGCCACTCTACATTTTTTTAAAACACCAAATCTGTTGATGATGCAATGAAAATAAAACCTGTGTTGATTCTTGGTAGAAAACAAGGATGCAGCCATTATTTTAAAATGTTATAAATGCTTCTTAAATAATTAAAAATGGAATTATCATCAAATAGAGCAATCCCACTTATGAATATATTTCCAAAATATCCAACACAGGACCTGGGACATATTTGAACATCCATGTTTATTGTACCCGTATTCACAAAAGCCAAAAGGCAGAAGCAACCCAGGTGTCTCTTAATTTATAAACACATCAAAAATGTAACATATACATTCAGTGAAATATTATCACAGAAATCAGATTATCAAATATTATAATTAAATCAAATATTATCAAAGAAATCTTGTCACATTTTAAGATAAACTTTGAAAATATTATGTCACGTGAAATAAGCCCAAAACAAAATGATGAAAACTACATGATTCCACTACGTATATGAGATATCTTAAGTAGTCACACTTTAAACAGAAAGTGGAAGGGTGTTTGTCAAGGGCTGAGGAGAGGGTAAAATGGGTTCTTGTTACTTAAATGGATACTGAGTTTTAGTTTACAAGATGTAAAATTTCTACTTTTGCATAACAATGTGAATATATTTAACACGACTGAAATTTACAGCTTCTTTTTGAGACAGGGTCTCACTCTGTCACTCAAGCTGAAGTGCAGTGGCACAATTATGCCTCACTTCAGCCTCAAACTCCTAGGGTCAAGTAATCCTCCCCTCAATCTCCCAAACAGCTGGGACCACAGGTACACACCACCATGCCTGGATATTTTTTACAATTTTTGTAGAGAGGGAATCTCTGGATGCTGCCTAGGTTGGTCTCAAACTTTTCGGCTCAAATAATACTCCTGTCTTAGCCTCCCAAAATCCAGGGATTACAGATGTGAGCCACCACCATGTCTGGCCCTGAAATGCGCACTTAAATAGATTTAAGATGCTAAATTTTATGTTATGTGTTTTTACTGTTTTTCTTCTCTTTTTTTGAGACGAAATCTCGCTCTGTCACCCAGGCTGGAGTGCAGTGGCGTGATCTTGGCTCATTGCAACCTCTGCTTCCTGGGTTTAAGTGACTCTCCTGCCTCAGTCTCCTGTGTAGCTCAAATTACAGATGTAGGCCACCATGTCCAGATAATTTTTGTATTTTTAGTAGAGAGAGGGTTTCACCATGTTGGCCAGGCTGGTCTGGAACTCCTGATCTCAAGTGATCTGCCCGCCTCGGCCTCCCAAAGTGCTGGGATTACAGGCGTGAGCCACCATGCCAGGCCTGTTATGTGTTTTTACAACAATTAATTTTTCTAAAGGAAAAACGGAAAAAATACTGAATTATAAATCTTCTAAAAAATTACCTTCAAATCACAAAAGTGTTTCTCTCACACAAAGGAAATATATATTCATCATTAGACACAGGGAGAAAATAAGACATAATGAAAATATTTCCATGTCTACTCACTTAGACAAAATAGCCACTGAAAATCAGCTAAGAAAATATATACAAGATAAGCCATAACCAATATTGGGGTCATATTTATAGATAAACACACACATACATAATCTGATTGTGACAGACATATGGCTGATTTATCTCTTAAACATCACATTGACTTAAAGTATACAAACAGAATTGCAGATTGGCTAAAAGTATATAAGAAAAACTAAAAAACAAAATAAGCTAATATTAAGAAACCTACACTGAAAAAACACTAATACGAAAACTGCACAACAGTGACAGACATGTTTACTCATAAAATCTAGTATGCAATATTAATATACTATTAAAAAAGAATTGTCTGGATAACTACAATATTTGACTGTGTACTCATGGAAGGCATGTATTTCAAATAACTGGCATGCACTATGTGGCAGTAAAATTTCACAGAATATGCAGTATAATTATAAATAGAATATACTAATGAGAAACTTTTAATAAGCATGTAAAAAAAGTGATAATTTTTATGTTTTAAATATATGCTATTCTTACACAAAATGAAACTGCTATAATCCAATTTCAGAAGCAAAGAATAGCATTACACTGCTAAATTAAAACTTATATTTTTCAAACTAGAGTTAGAGCCTCTGATATGTAAAACAAATATTTAGAAGTAAATTATGTTATCATTTAGATATATGCTGAAGAAAGTGGTTGAAAATCCTGTAAATCCTTTTTACCCGCAGCAAACTTAAGTAACCATTCTAGTAATATGGAGTGCCTACCAATTATCTAATTTACTTCAGGCATAACATGTACATTCTAGCATATTGTCCTAAATTTGAAAAGGAAAGCAAAATTAATGATTTGCAGAGAAACATATAAAAATAAAAATGAGGCCAGGCACTTACCTCCTGACTGTAATCCCAGCACTTTGGGAGGCTGAGTCAGGTAGATCACCTGAGGTCAGGAGTTCAAGACCAGCCTGGCCAACATGGTGAAATCTAAAATTACAGACAAGTTTGAAATGGAAAATAGAAAGTAAAAATGTATGGAAAGAGTAACATCAGTGACATGAAAAAATAAAAGGTGTTGTATTTGATTATCCTCACCACAGCAAAAAAAATTTTCAGTCATCCCTGACAAAAAAATGCCTTTATGAGACAGTCAGGCATCAAGGCTCACATCTGTAATGACTGCTACATGGTACATTGAGGTTGGAGAATTGCTGCAGGCCAGGATTTCAAGACCAGCCTGGATGATTAACAAGATCCCATCTCCAAAGCAAATGCCTTTAGAAGAGCTTTGAGACCCAGGGAGAGAGATGTGACAGTCTGCTAAAGCCCAAAATTGAGAAGTTTTTTTTTTTTCAGAGGACAGGCACTTATTCAAGTGGGAAACTATGGGACCCCTGGTATTGGCTACACACCAAGAAATGGCCCACCCAACTTAGTGCAACAGAGAATTCTGAAGTTACTCTGTAACCATCCCAAACTCCTCCCAGTTACAGTCTAAGAGAGGTCCTGCCCTTCCAGAGACCTGGAGGAAGACACCCATTTGCAGCCATGCAGACAGGTCTACAGACCTTGGTTTTTACTGTGGTCCCTGAAGCAGTTCAGTGACTCAGTTCCAGCTCTCAGCCACAGTGCATGACCAGTTTTGCCTAAATAGAAATCCACACAGTGACCTGGGGAAATCCTCTCTGGTACTCAGTGAAAGGCAAACCCATTCACATCCTGATATAAGGGCTATTATGTATGGAGCTGACTGCAGAAACTGCCCTAGTGTCTGCCCTACAGATCAAAGTCTTAAAGAATATTCAATCTGTCCAGAAATAAAACGGAAATTACAACTACCCAAGCCCTTTGTAACAAACCGTCTAAAGGTGGATGCTAGCGCAGACCAAGCAGTCTTATGACCGAGCTACAACCCCTCTTCACTACAAACCGAGAGGGCATAACATCACCCTAGGGACACAACAGAAAAAGATCTTTACCTCCTGAAACCTGTTTACAAAACCTAAGGAGTTGTTTACTCCTGCAAATTCACAGATACCAATATAAAACTACATTGTGCCCATTGTCAATGTTTCTACTTTAATGTAGCACTGAAAGTGTATGGCACAAAAATTAGTCAAAAACATTTTGAAAAAGCCATTGGAATTGAAGAGAATAAGTAAAATGTTGCATTTTGTGGATCGTGTGATCTTATTATATAAAAATAACATAAACAGTACATTAAAATTAGTGTAAAAAGCCAAGCATGGTGGCTCACACCTGTAATCCCAGCACTTTTGGGGGCTGAGGCAGGCAAATCATGAGGTCAGCAGTTCAAGAACAGCCTGGCCAACGTAGTGAAACCCTGTCTCTAGTAAAAGTACAAAAAAAAAAAAAAATAGCCAGGCATGGAAGCAGGCACCTGTAGTCCCAGCTACTTGGGAGGCTGAGGGAGGAGAATCATTTGAACCCAGGAGGTGGAGGTTGCAGTGAGCCGAGATTGCGTCATTGCACTCCAGCCTGGGTGACACAGTGAGATTCTGTCTTGAACAACAACAAAAAATTGTCTAAACTAATAAATAAGTCAGTAAATTAGCAAAATATAAAATTAACATAAAAGTTATGGTGCCATACACTTAAACTATCTGATACAATAGAGAAAGAAAACAATCTTATTTATAATAGTATTAAAATAATAAATTTCTCAAAACCAATTTAACCAAGAAGGTAAAAAATCTTTTTTTTAATCATACCTTTTTTTTTTCTTTTGAGACGGAGTCTCACTCTGTCACCCAGGCTGGAGTGCAGTGGTGCAATCTCAGCTCACTGCAAGCTCCGCCTCCTGGGTTCACACCATTATCCGGCCTCAGGCTCCTGAGTAGCTGGGACTACAGGCGCCCGCCATGGCACCCAGCTAATTTTTTGTATTTTTAGTAGAGACAGGGTTTCACTGTGGTCTCCATCTCCCGACCAAGTGATCCGCCCACCTTACCCTCCCAAAGTGCTGGGATTACAGGCGTGAGCCACCACACCCAGCCTTTTATTATACTTTAAGTTCTAGGGTACAAGTGCACAACATGCAGGTTTGTTACATATGTATACATGTGCCATGTTGGTGTGCTGCACCCGTTAACTTGTCATTTACATTAGGTATATCTCCTAATGCTATCCCTCCTCCCTCCCCCACCCTATGACAGGCCCTGGTGTGTGATATTCCCCACCCTGTGACCAAGTGTTCTTATTGTTCAATCCCACCTATAGGTGAGAACATGCGGTGTTTGGTTTTCTGTCCTTGTGATAGTTTGCTCAGAATGATGGTTTGCAGCTTCATCCATGTTCCTACAAAGGACATGAACTCATCCTTTTTTATGGCTGCATAGTATTCCATGCTGTATATGTGCCATATGTGCCACATTTTCTTAACCCAGCCTATCACTGATGGACATTTTGGGTTGGTTCCAAGTCTTTGCTATTGTGAATAGTGCCGCAATAAACATACGTGTGCATGTGTCTTTATAGCAGCATGATTTATAATCCTTTGGGTATATGCCCAGTAAGGGGATGGCTGGGTCAAATGGTATTTCTAGTTCTAGATCCTCGAGGAATCGCCACACTGTCTTCCACAATGGTTGAACTAGTTTACAGTCCCACCAACAGTGTGGAAGCGTTCCTATTTCTCCACATCCTCTCCAGCACCTGTTGTTTCCTGACTTTTTAATGATCAACATTCTAAACGATGTGACATGGTATCTCATTGTGGTTTTGATTTGCATTTCTCTGATGGCCACTGATGATGAGCATCTTTTCACATGTCCATTGGCTGCATAAACATCTTCTTTTGAGAAGTGTCTGTTCATATCCTTTGTCCACTTTTTGATGGGGTTGATTTTTTTCTTGTAAATCTTTTTAAGTTCTTTGTAGATTCTGGATATCAGCCCTTTGTCAAATGGGGAGACTGCAAAAACTTTCTCCCATTCTGTAGGTTGCCTGTTCACTCTGATGGTAGTTTTTTCTGCTGTGCAGAAGCTCTTTAGTTTATTTAGATCCCATTTATCTGTTTTGGCTTTTGTTGCCATTGCTTTTGGTGTTTGTCATGAAGTCCTTGCCCATGCCTATGGCCTGAATGGTAATGCCTAGGTTTTCGAGGGTTTTTGTGGTTTTAGGTCTAACATTTAAGTCTTTAATCCATCTTGAATTAATTTTTGTATAAGATGTAAGGAAGGGATCCATTTTCACCTTTCTACATATGGCTAGCCAGTTTTCCCCAGCACCATTTATTAAATAGGGAATCCTTTCCCCATCTCTTGGTTTTGTCAGGTTTGTCAAAGATCAGATGGTTGTAGATGTGTGGTATTATTTCCAGGGGCTCTATTCTGTTCCATTGTTCTATATCTCTATTTTGGTAGCAGGATCATGCTGTTTTGGTTACTGTACCCTTGTAGTATAGTTTGAAATCAGGTAGTATAGTTTGAAATCAGGTAGCGTGATGCCTCCAGCTTTGTTCTTCTGGCTTAGGATTGTCTTGGCAATGTGGGCTCTTTTTTGGTTCCATATGAACTTTAAAGTAGTTTTTTCCAATTCTGTGAAGAAAGTCATTGGTAGCTTGATGGGGATGGTATTGAATCTATAAATTACTTTGGGCAGTATGGCCATTTTCACAATATTGGTTCTTCCTATCCATGAGCATGGAATTTTCTTCCATTTGTTTGTGCCCTCTTTTATTTCATTGAGCAGTGGTTTGTAGTTCTCTTTGAAGAGGTTCTTCACATCCCTTGTAAGTTAGATTCCTAGGTATTTTATTCTCTTTGAAACAATTGTGAATGGGAGTTCACTCATGATTTGGCTCTCTGTCTGTTACTGGTGTATAGGAATGCTTGTGATTTTTGCACATTGATGTTGTATCCTGAGACTTTGCTGAAGTTGCTTATCAGCTTAAGGAGATTTTGGGCTGAGACAATGGGGTTTTCTAAATATACAATCATGTCATCTGCAAACAGGGACAATTTGACTGCCTCTTTTCCTAATTGAATATCCTTTAGTTCTTTCTCTTGCCTGATTGCCCTGGCTAGAACTTCCAACGCTATGTTGAATAGAAGTGGTGAGAGAGGGCATCCCTGTCTTGTGCCAGTTTTCAAAGGGAATGCTTCCAGTTTTTGCCCATTCAGTATGATATTGGCTGTGGGTTTGTCATAAATAGCTCTTATTATTTTGAGATATATCGCATCAATATCTAGTTTATTCAGAGTTTTTAGCATGACGGGCTGTTGAATTTTGTCAAAGGCCTTTTCTGCATCTCTTGAGATAATCATGTGGTTTTTGGCTTTGGTTCTGTTTATATGATGGATTACGTTTATTGATTTGCATATGTTGAACCAGCCTTGTATCCCAGGGATGAAGCCCACTTGATCGTGGTGGATGAGCTTTTGGATGTGCTGCTGGATTCGGTTTGCCAGTATTTTGTTGAGGATTTTTGCATAGATGTTCATCAGGGATATTGGTCTAAAATTCTCAGTTTTTGTTGTGTCTCTGCCAGGCTTTGGTATCAGGATGATGTTGGCCTCGTAAAATGAATTAGGGAGGATTCCCTCTTTTTCTGTTATTGGAATAGTTTCAGAAGGAATGGTACCAGCTCCTCTTCGTACCTCTGATAGAATTCAGGTCTGAATCCATCTGGTCCTGGACTTTTTTTGGTTGGTAGGCTATTAATTATTGCCTCAATTTCAGAACCTGTTATTGGTCTATTCAGGGATTCAACTTCTTCCTGGTTCAGTCTTGGGAGGGTATATGTGTCCAGGAATTTATCCATTTCTTCTAGGTTTTCTAGTTTATTTGTATAGAGGTGTTTATAGTATTCTCTGATGGTAGTTTGTATTTCTGTGGGATTGGTGGTGATACCCCCTTTATCATTTTTTATTGCATCTATTTGTTTATTCTCTCTTTTCTACGTTAGTCTTGGTAGCAGTCTATCGATTTTGTTATCGTTTCAAAAAACCAGCTCCTGGATTCATTGATTTTTTGGAGGGTGTTTTGTGTCTCTTATCTCCTTCAGTTCTGCTCTGATCTTAGTTATTTCTTGCCTTCTGCAAGCTTTTGAATGTGTTTGCTCTTGCTTCTCTAGTTCTTTTAACTGTGATGTTAGGGTGTCAATTTTAGATCTTTCCTGCTTTCTCTTGTGGGCATTTAGTGCTATAAATTTTCCTCTACACACTGCTTTACATGTGTCCCAGAGATTCTGGTATGTTGTGTCTTTGTTCTCATTGATTTCAAAGAACATCTTTATTTCTGCCTTCATTTCGTTATGTACCCAGTAGTTGTTCAGGAGCACGTTGTTCAGTTTCCACGTAGTTGAGCGGTTTTGAGTGAGTTTCTTATTCCTGAGTTCTAGTTTGATTGCATTGTGGTCTGAGAGACAGTTTGTTATAATTTCTGTTCTTTTACATTTGCTGAGGAGTTCTTCCAACTATGTGGTCAATTTTGGAATAAGTGTGATGTGGTCCTGAGAAGAATGTATATTCTGTTAATTTGGGGTGAAGAGTTCTGTAGATGTCTATTAGGTCCGCTTGGTGCAGAGCTGAGTGCAATTCCTGGATATCCTTGTTAACTTGCTGTCTCATTGATCTAATGTTGACAGTGGGGTGTTAAAGTCTCCATTATTATTGTGTGGGAATCTAAGTCTCTTTGTAGGTCTCTAAGGACTTGCAGGACTTGCTTCATGAATCTGGGTCTTCCTGTATTGGGTGCATATCTATTTAAGATAGTTAGCTCTTTTTATTGAATTGGTCCCTTTACCATTATGTAATGGCCTTCTTTGTCTCTTGATCTTTGTTGGTTTAAAGTCTGTTTTATCAGAGACTAGGATTGCAACCCCTGCTTTTTTTGTTTTTCATTTGCTTGGTATATCTTCCTCCATCCCTTTATTTTGTGCCTATGTGTGTCTCTGCATGTGAGATGGGTCTCCTGAATACAGCACACTGATGGATCTTGACTCTTTATCCAATTTGCTAGTCTGGGTCTTTTAATTGGAGCATTTAGCCCATTTATATTTAAGGCAAATATTGTTATGTGAATTTGATCCTGTCATTATGATGTTAGCTGGTTATTTTGCTTGTTAGTTGATGCGGTTTCTTCCTAGCATTGATGGTCTTTACAATTTGGCAAGTTTTTGCAGTGGCCGATACCGGTTGTTCCTTTCCATGTTTAGTGCTTCCTTCAGGAGCTCTCATAAGACAGGCCTGGTGGCGACAAAAATCTCTCAGCATTTGCTTGTCTGTAAAGGATTTTATTTCTCCTTCACTTATGAAGCTTAGTTTGGCTGGATATGAAATTCTGGGTTGAAAGTTCTTTTAAGAATGTTGAATAT